ATGGATAGCAGTTGGTGTAGCGCGTAGGAAGGTGTCATCACCTGCTTCATTGGCGTACTGTAGTAAAAGTTGTGGCACATCTTCACTCATGGTCTTCAAGGGCTCCCAGGAGTTCTCGATGGTTTCAAAATCAAGCCACTTTACTTTCACCTCATACGCCTGCATGTCTGCGTTCAGTCGATGACCCATGATCGCCTCAATGGCCAGCAGTGTCCCTTGAGAGGCAATATGATCGAGAAGATCCTCATTCACATTTAGCGAGTGGTTTGCATAGAGCTTCAGGCGAGATGGGTGCACATCCATTGTTTTTCCACTGACCAAATGTTCCACAGTGAAATAGTAGTCAATACTGCCGACCACGCGGTACGGACCTACCCACATCACTCGTAGCTTGTTCGCATGCAACTTCTCATCGACACGGAAACGTAGGACTTAATCACCGACCGAGAAGTTTACAGGTTGCTCGTAGTGTGGTCGTAGCCGGTACCCTTTGGCCTGGCGTTGTCGCTCGTCCTTCGCAGACTTGTGCAAGTTGCGGATGTTTTCTCGTAGTTTGGTGAGTCGCTCTACTGTACTTGACTTTGGTTGGCTCAGCGTAGCTACACGCCCCTTCCCTCCTGGAAAAAATATCGTGTCCAGTCCCGTCAATAACTCAACCGGAGCCCGGTTAGCTAGCGACTGTACCGGTGAGTGGTTTATGCTGGACTGCACCAGCGGAAGTAGGTAGGACCAGTCATGCAAGCTGACTTTGTACTCCAGTGCCAGTGCCTTCAGTACTTGCAGGATGTCCCGATTCACGCGCTCAGCTGAGCCGTTTTTCCAAGGTGAGTATGCTAGCACGAACTCTTGACGACTTTTCAGTATCTGGCCTAGATCTGCCACCACCTTGCTCTTAAAATGCGATCCAGAGTCACTAACCCACACCCTAGGCGCTCCAAAGCGACTGTATCAGTCCAGAATGGTACTCGCTGCAACTTCAGATGTAGGGCTATCACAAGCCACCAGCT